AATTATTCTAATGTAATGAAATATAGAAACAAAATTAATCAAGTTATTATGAATTTGCTGTTTCATTAACAAGGAATATAATAATATTTTCTTAAATTACATTTTTCAAACTTCAAAATAATTTTTATCATTTAATAATTAAATGTAAATTTTTTATAGAAGGTACATACATTGGATATGCTTCGTAGCTTTTAAAATTCAATTTTTAATTACTGTTACGATGTAAAATTATTATTATTAGTTCGTGGTGTTAAAAATATATAATCTACAAAGTACAAACAGAAACAATTAATTAAAAATAATATTTCAGTTGTACATAGTTTAAACTCTATTTTTATTGTATCATTATTACTACCATTATTCATTAAATATACATTAAAATATATTACATTTAGTTTTAGTATAAGTACTTATATTTATTTCTTCAGTTCAAAAGTGAACCTCAGAGAAAAATTATTTTCCTACATAATTTACATTTTGAAATATTACAATGAAACTCGCACGATTAAATTCAATAAATTTGCCCAGTTTCCAGTACTTTATATTAATTACTTAGATATTATTATAATAATAAAATTATTATAACATGACATAATTAAAATATTATTATGCTCTATTATACTCTCACAAATTGACAGTACAGTAATTCTGTTTGTCAATGACATTTAATAAATACATACAACATTAAACGAGTACTAACAAGTTAACTTAACTTAGATCAAATTTGAAATGCCAAAAATACATCTCCACAATAGTTGTTCTAGACGCTAAATTATGCACTATTGTATGGTGTAAATGGTGCAAGTGTATATAGTACTAGTTACGAACAATGTAGTGACAATTACACTTTCAACGTTTATTCATTTTACTATCAATGAATAATAATATGTCTCTCTTACACGCAATAATATATTTGTCGAACTCGAAACGGCTGAACTAGAGAATTTAGATAACTTTGCTTTCTAAAATGTTTAACGATTTTCGGTTTTCTAAACTGAAGGTCGTCTGAATCGGGTGGTACGATCATGGCTGGTGCATAGTTATATTATAGTTGTTCGAGCTCAACCCATGATGGTTGGAAAATGTGCAATGCTATTCCGGCTCTTACATGTTTATCGTGTACATTTGTTCTCATGTACAAATGTAATTATGATACTATCATATTCCTGAAGTACGTTTTAAATTTGAAAAACCATACTTGTCTAATAATAGAATATATTGCTAAATGAAATAATATTATTAACACCGTGGTGTACCTATTTCGCCTATATAAAGCGCCGTGTTACCGCAATAATTGAAACGCAATAATTTCATATTTTTTATGAGATACCGGGAAAAATTAACCCAATGGTATCATTCACCAACATTATACAATTGCCAAAGCAAGCTGTGACAAACGGGTGAATGTCACATAAAAAATAGAGTATGTCATCGGTATTTAATACATTTTACTGCCTAACAGGTTTTATCCTCGTGCTATGTAAGGTACTGACATTTTTAAAACAACAGTTTGACAAGCGATTTCTAAAGTTAATTTTGAACTATTATTATAGGCAGTTATTTATATAATTGCAAACAGTTATCATAATAGTCAACAAAATCGGACGTTATAATTGGACGGTTCTATGAGAGGAAAACCTAAGAAATGGCCTTTCAGTTAAAAATATTAATCTCGGGCTACACTTGCAATCACTTTTGCGAGAAACAACTAGAGAATGTCTTAAAGATGACTTAAAAATCGATAAAGAAATACTATATGCCACATTGTAATATCGACCTGTATGCGAGGCGGTGGTTTAATTACGCGTCGTACCAATTTCAAAGGATTTCTCAGTTTGTCATTAACTTTACATATGTAGTGTGTTTGCCTCAACGATATTTATGAGCCGTACAAGTCCAAACGAGCAAATTACATCACTTGAATAAATCGGTGTTGGTTACATAATATCACTACTGCAGGCTACAGCCCCGATAACACATACTATAATATAATTTTCTTGCACCGAGTATTTCATAAGCTCGCAGTAGTCCTATACGTCGGCCAATTATTACCTATGTCAGCGGTCACCGACTGGACCTCAGACATGTTTTTTACGGACCCTAATGATTGCGTAATGATAAAATATACAATATAGTTTTTACATTACATTTTTACAATAAAATGACGAATACAAATATTTTCCGATATTGTGAGTATGGTATACATAATATATAATATATATCATGTACGTGTCTCCTTCACCGAGCTTTAAGTTGAAAGCAATGAAAGCCCGTAGGTGCAAAAAATAATTCAGAGGAGTTGACTGATATGTACGTTAGTAACGCGTTAGATGCTCGTGCCGCTGCGTTATAGTATGTCAAAAAAACCATATCTAAGAATTTCCAAAGTATGTTTTATTACAATTTAGTAGGATTCTTATATTATTTGTTAATGTGTGAAAAAAGTCATTGGGTATTTAAATGTGTTTTAGACCTTGGGAAGTTTGGTAAGTTTCAAAACGGACCCCTGTAGAAATTAATTGGTGACCTCTAACCTATGTTATACGCCAGTCGATATGATATTATTGTGGTAACAGATAGATTGAATATGATGTAAAAAAATAAATATTCATGTTATAAACGGTGGTGGCACAATTATAATGTGTTTAATTTTGTCTAGACTCAGAAATACAGCTGCAGGATAATATCATCCCGACGACTAAGTTTCATTATTGCTGGTAACACCGTAACAGATATAATATGACCTGTATAACAGAACATGATATTATACAAATCATACAGTTATATTCAAACTATAAAAAAAAATCCCTTTTTATAAATGTTTTGAATACCTACCCAACGTGTAAGGTTCATATTAAAATGTCCATTCCACGGGTTCATGACGTTATTGTATTCCAAGAATGTTTTACATACGTATACATTATAATACGTATTTTACATTGTAATACCCATTCACGTTTATAAATATAGGTATAAGCAAACGTTACATTTGAACTATGTTCGATACCAGATTATAGAATATTTTAATGGCGTGGCATATTATTATACCGTTGGATAATCTAATTCTATACTATTTTTTTATCCGCATACTTTAGATAGTCTAAGTCCATACATACGCACGCACGACGATGTATATATTTAATCGCAAACATTACCGCAGAAAGAGGTCATGTCCGTTTTAATTAATTGTACGGGAAAAGCAGAAAACATGATATTATTATATCAGCTGTAGTACCTACCCACTTGAAATAATATGAATATATAATTTTTAAAATTGCATTCCGCTATAAATTGACATTATTTCAAAACAAAAACGTAATATTTTTTTTTATGATATCGTTAATTCGTTTCACCGAAGGAGATTTTTTTTAAGCTGTATGCAGTATAATACGCTGTGATTGAAATAATACTATAGTTTTTTCGTCTATAATTATCCTATAGCGACCTACGGTAATAACGATACTTGAATTAAAATTCAATCATCTGTTTCCTAGTTGAATTTCGTTTCGTGTAAACGTTTAGCGACGTCCGTACGTGTTTATCGACCGTTGGACTACCGTGGTCGTACAAATTTCCCAGCGCAATCAGTTGCGGAACGTAAACGACTATATTATACTGTCTGGGAAATCCGGAAGCGGCCTAAACACCGGTACGACGTGGTGATATAATAATATACCAGAGAGACGGATACGAAACCCTCCGAATGGTGTCCGCCGTCGTTCGACCGTCTCCAGAGACCCTGCAGCCAGTCGAATGATTATTATGACATTATAATATTTTATTACAATAATATTATGCACTTTAATAGTTTAATAGAATAATAGAGTATTTTGTTATGTCGGCCAGTGACACTGAAGAGACGTCCATGCTGCACAACTGGAAAAAATTGGCAGAAGATACGTATAATATGACATGTCCAAGAAATAAAAAAACAAATCATAAAAAAAAATATTGATGAGGGAATTCTAATAATGCGACAGTTACACCTGTCATACCTCTAGGTTATTGCCGTCGAGTTAATGACAAAAATGTTTCCATTTCAATATTATTATTATTATAACGTCGTACCAGCGGCTAATAGAAACGCCAACAATTATTAATTAATAAACATTATTAGTTATTGCATTATGTTCCTATGTGAACGATAGTACCTCAGAAGCAAAACTATATAGGTACTCGAATGGCCGATAGCAAGAAATTTAGTTTATTGGAAATAAAGTAGTAAAAATGTACAAGGTTTTGTAATTTATTGCTGTTATTAGCAAAAAAATGTTTTCTAAATATTAAGTCGTAAAATAATGACTGATTTATTATTATTCCAAAAATTGTATACACCTCCAGCCGGTAGCACACGCACTTTTAATTACATTAGTTTTACAATATTAAAAAATATTCGTTAAACATTTTTAATTAGTTGTTGTTCCTTTTTACTATCAAGTTAATTCCTCCCCACTCAAGTTTTGTCATGTTTGAATATCTTCGTCGTCTGTGTTGTACCTATTATTTATTGAAATAGATTGCAAATATTTAATTTTCTAATAAATAAAAAATAAATATTAGTAAGTTTCGTTAAAGCAAAATTAACCGAGAAATAGTATAACTTCTTAATATTTTATTAACGATAGTTACGTTAATTTTTTTTATTTACTGATTTAAAAATTTAAGCATTTGTTTTTTTTCGACTTATTGTATGATAATTTCACGAAAAAAAAAATTTGGTTCAATTACGATCACGGTCGAGGAATCCCGCCAAGTCCCGAAGTGGAGAACCATAGACGGGAAAAATGTAGAAAATTGTATTATAATATATTATTCGCACACTTATTATTATTATTATTACTTTTGTCTCCTTAGCGCAGTATAATGCATGTTATTGAAGCAGCCGAGCGGAAACGCAAGATGACAGACATGGCCATATTATAATATTATAGACACTCCTTATGTTATGCAGATGGTGTTGTGCGACCTGCAGCACGGCGAGAGCAAATAACCTCCGTATAATGATCATCGAGAGATCAAAAACCCTGTGCTGTTTATCTTTTCTCCGCGGTGCCCCGGGTTCGGTTACCTACCCACCTGAAGTGTATACCGCTTGGTATATTATTGAAATGACGGGAAATGTCGGTGGCGTTGACACTCTGCGGGCCCCGATTTACTACGGCGCATATAATCGGCGATCCGAGAAACGTTTCCCCTCCGGCCCCGTTGGTTCGGAACAGTCAGATCATCACTCGTCTGTATACTTATACTTGCCGATCGCATTATTGGCCACCGTCGGATGTCCTTCCCCACTCCAAAGTCACAAAAATATAATATTATTATCGCATCGGTTTTTTGAGAAAACAGCACCAAGACATCTTCGCACGGCGGCGCGGGGTGTTGAAGTTTAATTCCAAACGATTCGCATACGGTGTGGGGACGTCGCAAATTTATTGGACGATAAATATCCGATCGTTTTCAAAACTATATACACCTAGGTAATATAATATTATTATGATTTACGGTCTGAGAGCGATCCAAAAAAATATTCCATCGTGTGGAATTAATTCTATAACGAGCTTCCGATCGATTGCCTAAGTGTTTGTTTCGAAACTTTTCTCCGTCATTTCCTTTTGAAGAAAAGTATTTAATATTAATATAATACGCTTTTCACTGAATCCGTAAAAATTCTCCAACTATTTCACTGGCCATACTTTTCGCTGTTTGTGAAGTTATCTCGCGTACAACAATGATAACAATTCATTTGAATTAATTTAGTCTTTTATATTTATGACAGAATAATTAACAATGTACCATAATCATTTAACCACTGTGAAACATTATGATAATAATAACAACAATAATATTTAAGACCCATATTAGATTAATGTAGAATACGTTAAAATGTAATATTATGTTGGTTCTCATTTGATTTAAGGCAAAATGGCTGCTAAAGTGTTAAATAAATTTTAAATATTATTTCATTACGTTATACAATTAGACGTAAATTACAGTCGCAACCAAACTATATATATATATATAGTTGTAATAAACTTTATTATTGACTTACTAAATGCTAAACAAACATTTTTAACCTCGTGGAACCGTAATTTGCTTTTACTTATATAATATTATGTACAATGCATCAAAACAACTATAAAACAAACGCATTTTATGTCGTAAATCATTTAAACAGACAAATGTGTTGTACATGTATATTACATACATTTCTTTTTATGCCATACATTTTAATATGGTTGGTTTCATAACTAGAATGACGTTCACACTTGGTCAATTAACAATAAATTTAATTTCAAAAAAAAAAAAAAAAAACAATTTATTTTGTTTGAAAGTATATATATATATATATAACAGTAAAACGTTTTTAAATAGTAGTTGTGAACAGAATACAAATGATATAGCTGGGTGTTGGTCACTGTTTACGTTTCACTCACCTCGACGCAATCCAGTATTGTATTATTATTTAACATGTTAATGCCACCATAAATCATCACATTTAGAACAGTATTTGAAGTGGAATTTTACATCACCAAAAATAAGCGAAGATTTTTTTCAAACAGAATGAACAGTAGATTATTATTTCAAATACACTAAACAAATTGTAGAGAACGAAAACCATTTTTTTAATTACCTACGATATTTTTTCAATTTAAAATCCAAAAATATGACTTTATAATACTTTTGAAATAATTTTAGTCACATAAAAAATGTGTTTTATAAAAATAGTTATGTTACTGTAAAGAATAAAATATCTAAAGGCTATAATATAAAAAAGTTAATTTCTATCAAAAATCAAATCGAATTCAATCAATATTAATCATAAATTCCGTATAATATCCACCATAAAATACAAATTATGATTTAATTGATCCATTTTTCAAGGTAAGCTTACGAAATACTCATATCATTTATTTGAAAATCTCCGAAAATTTTAGAGAAACCTTAATTTTTGAAAGCTAAAAATTGAAACACGTATTGATCTAAATTCTATTACATACCAAATGTCTGTATTTGATATTCTTCGCTATTCACTATACTTGTTATAAGTAAAAGAATAAATACAAGCACTAATTTGTGTTTAAATAAACCTTGTGTAGGTACATATTAACCTACTAACGTTATGATATAGCTCTTGTGGAGCAGTGGTGACCCTTAAAATATGATTTATGCACCAGGTAGGTTGCAGATAGGTCCTATCGTTTTGTCCCATGTTACATGCTTTGCGAAGCCGGAATAAACTCATTAGGATGGTCATGGATGAGAACCCACTTGATAAAATACCACTGGGAAGGCCAGGATTGAGGTGGGAAGATGTTATAAGGAAATACAAAGAGGCACTGAATGGAGGACAGGATTTCAAAGCACTAGCGGATGATAGGGGAGAATTGGATGTGTGACGGAATGGTCTTGATGGCCGACAAACCCGAGAAAAAGAACAAGAAGAAGTTAGGTATTCGCAAAAGAATACAAGTACAATGAAATATTTCATTACTGAAATGTTCTTTTTGAGGAATCGTATTCTTTTACTTATACATTTTTCGAACAATGAATAATTGTTTTGCATTTTTTTTTCTTTTTAGTTTAGTTTATCTCCACTACCCTCTTCTTGAATAATTAAAAACGAATTGTTAAAACTTAAAAATAAAAAACCAGAAAATAGTATACAGGATGATACAACAAGTAAACACCACACCATATTATTTTCGTTTTCCACTGTTAATTGATAAGTGTACACATTTTTTTTTAAATGTGATAGTATATTAAAAAAAAAGAATTTCAGGGAAGTAATAATTTTGAGTTATAAAGCGTTATGTAATTATTATATTACTAAATTAAATTATTGATTTGTCTAGACCTCCAGAATTTATAGCAGCTATGATGATTTGAAAATGCTATTAAATAATAATATATAATATTAAACTAACATTTTATAGTTTGTAATTGTTTTCCGAGCATAATAAATTAGTACTAGACTAAATATTACATCTATTTTATTTTATATATAAAACTATTATCGTATAGTAAGACAAAGCTTAGACTCGTTCAAATTTAGATTTAGTGTATAATATTCTTTACCTTTTTTAATCTCGTGCTTATCAATGTATTATAATACATATATATACTTATATCATGGTTCTGTTTTGAAAAAAATGAAATTTGTGTCACCACAGGTACACTCTTTATAAATTATATTAAAATCAAAGTACCTTGAGGTATGCATATTTCTATATTTTTAATACAATGGCTTTTAAGCATAGGTACTTAAGAATTCCAATAATCAGAATTGTAATAAATACATTACCTACTAAAGGATATAAGTGAAATGGCTAAGTATGATTGGTAAATCACCCTGTATATAATAATAGTGATTGATCTGGTGCGATGTAACGATTGAAAAATATATAGGTATTTTAAAAACAAATTACCAAATTTGTATAAATTGGGTGTCACTCGCATTCAAACGGTTTAATATGTGAAGGTATAAGGTTTAAATTTTTGCCAGCTCAAAGTGTGTGTACCTACTATTACACATTTTAAACTACACTATCGAAGCAGCACTGAAATATACATTAGTAAAAATGTATTGATTTTCGCGAGCAAATTGAATTCGCGTACTCGGTGTGCACTGTACGCATATTATACACATAATAGTAGTATTATTATTATTATTATTATTATTATTATTATAGTGCGCACATTCACGAGGGCTTATTATCGGTCGAAATATTGTACGAACACAGCTATACACCATACCCATCGTGATGTCTTTGTGCCATATCGTGATCAGACTCGATTTATATATATATTAAAATATATATGTTGTAATACATATGTAATAATATATGTATACTATATTATAGTAGGTATATCTGGAACCTTTGACAATTTTACTTTAAACCGAAACATTATTACATTTAAATATTATCCTGCAGTTTGAACGCATATATACACCCTGTGTGTATATAATATTATATTTTGTGTACGGATATGATAAAATATTAACAACGGCCCTGCACTGCAGCTGCGGCTCATTATATTATAATATACGAGCGCAAACAATATATTGTCATGTGTATTATAGAAATCATTGTCATACGATACGAATTCATAAAAATGCTCATTCGTCGATAATAATAATTGACGCTATATAATAATAAAAATATTATAATATACTTCGAACTTTATTGCACATCAGCCATCGCCAATTGCAAAAGTACAAAAAATACGAATGTTAACGATTCCGACATGCTCGCATTTTCAAAAACTTGGTTTCCCCATCTTTGTTAACAACAACCCCTCTCCCCCAACCCAACGACGGGCACATGATCCAGGTCGTGTAGATGAAGGGGAAAAATACACGAAAATAAAAAAAAAAATACTCAAATGATTTTTTTTTTTAATTGAACGTACGACGGCCCTCTGTATTTTTTTTTTTAGAGGGGATTGTAGTGACTCCGGGAGGTATTAGAAACGCGTACTCGACCATCAGTCCGTTTTTTGTCTATTCATCTGCTTTTCAACTTTTCAAAAGAATTAATTTTTTTTCTTTTTATTATTTCCTTCTTCTACGTTGGAGCATAGGACGAATGGTGAGTACACCGAGCACAAAGCTACGAAATAATTATACTTTTTTACAGTAAAATTATAAAGAAGTAAATAATTACGAATCCATTGATTATATTATCGTTATTGTTCAGTGTTCTATTGATATGCTATCATAAATTTCACAACATAAAACTATAATATGAGACGATTAAAGTTAAAAAAAATGTAGAGTATCTATAAAACTAATTAAACAACTGATCGAAATACATATAATAATGCTAGCTTAAACTATCTACAAGAATAATACATTCGGTTTAAGGTATAGGTAGTGTATAGCTGTAATATGGGTTTATTGATAACTAACTATATTATTTTTAAATTATAACGAAATATTAAACAAACATCAACAAGTGGCAACTTTGACACGCTCATCGAAAGACGTCTTGTTTTAATCGAAAGTAACGTTATAATATTGCTACCTAGGTATAACTTACGTTTCGTGTGTATAATATTTTAACAGATTGTTTTACCGCAAACACGTTCGGTAATCTTTTATTTGGTCCAAAGACATTCGATGTTGTGTTTCGCCATACGAATTCATTACAGTTACGTTTTTTAACCATAAAACTGTATACATATAAAAAAAAAAACCCCAATCTTATGGTGCGGCAATTCCGTCGTTGTTCACGTAGGTAGTATTATAGGTAAGCGTGACAAAAGTGTTCAACGCAACTTACTTTAATATCGCATCCAAATGGTCGGAAATTTTAGAAAAATAAAAACAATTGAAGTGCGTCAAAGTGTATTATTTATTTATCATACGACAACCGTAAACGCGGAAGCAGCGCGTCCAACGGCGTAATGAATTTAAAATGCGCAAGGGTTTCGAGAGGATCTAAGGTGAAATTCTTGTACCGTGCAAACGGAAACTGTGCCGAAATGGACCAAAAAAACAGTAATGCGAGTTTGTAACATGAAACTCTTTTTGTGTTAGGGGATGGGGAGGGGGGTTATGATACTGAGAGGGACGACAGCAACAATGACGCTCAGAATCTTTAAACGCAAAAGGAGAGCACGCGCTGTTCTAACGGGTTTTTAAAAGGTTACATTCGACCCTTCCACCGAACGCTTCATCGTTTTTAAATATTACATACGACACGTGAGGGGTAAAAAAAAAATATAAATAAAAAATGTCATTTTTATTACATGCCTATGGCCGTAAAAGTGGACATTTTCCTGTTGTTAGCGCACTTGGACATCGATTATTTATGGTTAATTAATATTTAGGGATGTTACTCAACACCTTTCGACCAAAGAGAAATAGTTTTTTTTTTACTATTATTATTGTTATTGTTACTGTGAATTCAATGTCCATACTCTATTATTGTTTGTCCGTCGATTGGATTACATTATTAATTAGTCGGCTCGTTGCACATTGATCTGCATAAATAAAATGAAATATTTAAAATGCATATCAAATGCATTTAAATATTTTATCCCAGCGTCCGTGGTGTTTTATACTCGAAACAATAATCGTTTAATTACTGTACACTGACGATAAGGTACGTTCTGGGAAATTCGGAGGTCATAGAATGTTCAAAATTAAATTCCTGTGAATTTGTGACGGATGGAAAAATGTTTCTAGTACTTCTTAATAAAAAAAATCGTAAAAACACTAAAACATAATTGAAATTATTAATATTATTTTTAAATTCACACGAGCTGTGTGGCTATAAAATAGACACTACTGGTTTTAATATGATGTTGTTTGTATTAAAGAGTCTCAACAACTCTTATGCCATCAATTAATATTATAAGGTATACCGTTCGATCCATACGTCATTATAATATTATGTATACCTAGTGACTTTCTAAAAACAACTACCTACCAAAATGGTAAAATGTACTATGCAAAATCACAAATCTGACATTGATTAACTCGCAGAGTATAATTTAATTTCATAGTTTATTTTGAACGTATTATTCTGAACACACAAGAAAAAAAGTAAAAAAATAACAATTCCGTAGAATTTTCATTTTATATTTTTACATAATACCTTAGCTTTATAATTAAAAACGAAAATGATCATCAAGTTTTAAATTAATTTTCTGTTATATTTAAAAACAACCCTGCTCAGATTAATTTTTCAGAATGCGATAATAATCGGTTTCAAATGTAATGAAAAAATGGGGTAATATTGTAACATCCGCCTTTTTAGTACACTCCGTTCTGAGTGACCGACCCAAGGTGCGAAAAATATTCTTTTTTTTTTAAATTAAAACACCTTATATGTATAGTCGTACAGTTGTACACGATTATTTTGATTGTGATTAAAATCGGGATAAGCCATATTATATATACCTAACGTAAATAACTTATTATGTAACATTAATTATACAAGAAAAATTAAATTTAAAAAATAAAAAAAAAACCACAGATAACCATCTTAGACTCGTTAACCACTGCACTGTGTTCAGTGTATTACCGTGATTACGATGAAAAATGAATAAAAACTGTATACATTACCATCATGGTCGTAGCACAACGGTTGGAATACGTTTGACTTTTTGAAATATCACACCCATTTGTGATAACGAAAACCAGATAGATTTAATTTAATTTTGCATAATATACTGTCGAGTTGTTATTCGAAACACTGCAGTAAGTAGTTATAAGACATTTCGTCGACGTCGTTGTCAGCTGCCTACTGAACTAATATACGAGTATAATACCGATGGTAAAATACTCAGGATCGCATTGTTTTGATGGTTTTCGTTTCTTAACGCATATTTTAATTTGTTTTCAGAAGTTACCAATCAGAAGGTGCATACTGCATACTGTAATTTTACTTTTAGGATTTTGCTCGTCAACGCGAGACGTATTTACTTTTAAAAATTAAATTAATTGCACTATTAAAGTAATAATAATAATATAACGTATTTAATAAATATAATATACTAAAATATAATCCATATAATTATATTGATATCATACACCGCGAGAACATGCCATAAAATTGAACGGTATTTATGTGGTTACCTATCTTATTTTCTGAAATGTGAAGCTACTACGTTTTTTTTTTTTTTGGAATTAATTGTATAAACGAAGATGATATCAACCGATAATTATTGAACGGGAAACATCGGAAAAAGATAAAAGCTAACTCTTTTTGGGAAAGTCCTCGCATCTCGCATCCCTAGTTTTTGGTGATAACTGAGCTTAAGGGTTAAAAAGAAAAAAAGAATCTCATTTTGTTTTTTTCCATTTCAAAAAGCTTACACACGCCATATACGTACTCTTGCCTGGTTAATATAAAAAGGCTTTTCTCTTTGAATACTCCAATATGCAGTGGTGTGCGTACAAGACTAGTAACTTATATTGACTGTGGCACGGATAAACGACCGATTTAAATATCATTTTTATTTTTATTTTTTTCATTCGTTTGAACGGTCTTGGTGCGCACCACAGTAAGGGAACCATTACGAGATAAAATGTCGAAGGATATGTCATGGGAATCGGTCGCACATTTGATCACTGCTTGTGTCGTCCTCAAGGGAGACCCAAAGATATTATTTGTCCTTATGTTTATACACTACATTTAATCTCATGCAAAATTCAAAACTGTAGAAATGTAATTTTTGTCGTTTCGTTTGAAAATTTGACATGGCGGTAAATTATTTATAAATTTCTCGTCCGTATGAAGTTCTTTGGTGAAACCAAATAACTGCATTATTAATAGAAACCATCAATTAATTTAAACACGAGAACCACATAGGAGATGAGTACTTTTAAACAACATCATCGGAATCATAATTTTATATTTAAATTATTGATCATGTTTAAATATGTGCACGTCTGAAGTCTTAACTCTAAAGTGGTCATTAAAATGTAAATATGGTAAGGGTTAGGTTCACACAGTGTTTTGGATTTTCAATAACAAACAAATACAAAAAGAATCCAACTCACGAGTTATATAAATGGCATGCTGTGTTGTGAAATATTCTTAGAAATTAGAATGTTATAGTGTTCTCAAATACTAATATATTATTATTATTATTATTATTACATACGTCTTAAATGTATGAAATTCTATAAGTTTATTATAAAGAACTTGCAACTTATCATTAAAAATACTGACGGTCATTTAGACACCTTAAGTGCAATTGTTTTATTTTTTTAAATGATTTTGAAATGTTCAACAAGTTTACTTTGCTTCATTTCTGGTGAGCATATTTTTCATTACCAAATTGCTTACGAGAAAATCTAATTTCAAATTTTCAAACTCTTGAATAGTTAAAAGTAATATTTATAATTATTTTAAATATACAAATGTGTTCCAACAGATGTGAAGCAAATTTCTTAATATTTTAAAACTGTTCTCATGTTTGAAATATGACCAATGGTTGTACATTTTTGTCATACGTATAGGTAATTTATTTCTTCCATGAATCGATTTTGATATTGACTGTCATAACTATATTTTGTTTACAGAATTGGACAACGCCGATTTGTATGTACCAGTTGATCCGAACAAGATTCCCAAGTTCTTGAACAAGCCGAGCACATACCAGGTCGTCACCAAAGATACAATTGTTTTACCATGTGAAGTATATAATCCGGGTAAGATTTAGTATTTATTTAAACTTAAATATTCAAGTGAGTTCTTCAACCCGATGCTGTTTTGCATCCTACCTGCACGGTCATACCCAAGAAAAGTAGTATCCAATACAATCGTTCGTTTAGAAATACAAAAATAAATTACTAACATATCCGAATAACTAAATAATATAATACCTATAGATCCACTATACCTACGATAGACGAACGATTGTTTAAATAATTTATGATTGTTGACGAATATTATGATAATTTTGATCGTCATGATTCATATTTGGGCGCGGAGGTAAGCTTATAACGGAATGGAGCAAAGAAGCTATTAGTTTTAAAATAATTATGTGTAATTTTTCTCAAAAGAAAGTTTTTGGACCACGTAAAGCGTTTTAAAGTTTTGTACAGTTCACTTCGATAGGAAAGTGAACACTAATAAAAAGAAAGTAAATAGTACTTAACATTTTTCATAATTGCAAAATTAATAGTTTTGAAAAAGTTTACGAAAAACCCGTGTAGGTAGTTACAATTTTGGTAAAATCATTAAAACTTCTTATAACCGACTTACTAAGTATTCTCACATTTTCATATAATATTAGGTACTAATAGAAAACCCATTATGACACTCACGACATTGAAAAATGTGTATGAGTTTACAATAAAGTTAGTAAATAGTATAAAAAATTGTATGTAAAATTTAATATTTTCTATTTTTCCATATTTTATTGAATAAATTGTTCGTAATGAGAAATAAATACAATAATAATGTAAAATTTCCGTTAAATACAAAATATATTTCTTCTTTATTTGCTTTAAAAAAAATAAAAATAAGCTCCTGACATTTTTCTATTTCAAAACAATAATAAAAGCCTTTTAAAAAAAATAAAAAGTTGTTTTTCAAATAAGTAGTTTTCTAATATAATCCCTTACTTTATCGTACAATCAACGCACATAACAGTAACTCAAGTTGACGTACCTATCTATAAATCAATATCCACTTTTACCCCTTAAACACGTTTACAACGTAGGTACATATTTAATTGACTTCTTACCAGTGCAATAGTTAATTTGCTCACCACCGATCTAGGTTCACATTTATTATTTGTGTGTCAACTAATCTAAATGGTTTTTAAAATAATCGACCGAATTAATGTTCCAAGTACACATACGTTGATTAATAAATGTGCTAATATATCCTTTTAAATCCTGTGGAATTATTTAAATCCAACACGCCGTATTATTATTATTATTATTATTATTATAGTATATATTATTTACTGCGATTTTCAGTATAATATGAAATAATTCAAACCACCACATATAGTGCATTTAATATTGATATGGAAATTTAATTTGGCGGTCATTTCGTGTGAAAAGCGTGCAGCAATTTAATGCGATTGCACTTCCACGACGGGTCGGGTGGTCCCCAATACAATTTAATTGGAAATTTATATGAGTTTGGTGTGGTATAATTCACTAGAGAATCGCCTAAAACCGTTTACATACTAAGTTAGTTTCGTCCGTCCACACTTGTATCCGACCGTGTCGCCAGTGTTGACCAAACGATATTGTTCCCACTATAAATTCGATTCATAATAGAAGAAGTTTTAGGACTTATTGACTAAAGTTCGAGGACGTGCATAATGTATAATATTATAGATTCTTTTAACAACGCCACAAAGGGTCCCGGACATATACGGAACGAGAGTTTTGAAATAAATTTGTATTGAAATGAGAAAAATTGTATGGTATATATTATCGCCGTTCGGTTAGTTTTGTCTAAAATATTTTTACTTGCACCACCATAATTCATAATCGTGTATTTTTTTTCAGTCAACAATATTGTTATTTTGTCAGTACCATCCGATTATATTATGTCGAAGTCGTTGCCTAGATAGTGAAAAGAAGTCATAATATCCCTAACCTCCCTAACTATATACATATAATATACATTGTACATAAATATTTTTCATTATTTTCAAGTCACAATTTTATTTTATTATAATATTGTCATAAATATTTGAAGGGTTACTAGGAAAAACGATCATAGTAAAAAGAAAGAAAAAACCAAATAGTTATAGTAAATTTTGGTTAGTGTCATAACGAATTGACACGTGAATCCAGTTATGGAAAAAAGACCACGGTCAATGATATAATACAGGTTTAAATATCACCATAAAAAAAGGCCAGAGTCCCGCTTTAATAGTGCAATACTGAACATTTTAAGAATATTGACTATTATCGTTTTTCTTCCTAACCCTTCCATTTGCTTATAGTTTTTCTTCACGTAATTATGTCTGGTTAAGAAGTTCGTATTTTTGGCATTGTTTGCATGTAGGTATTTTAATGATATTATTTTTTTATCGTTTAGGTACATAACGTTGCAAATATTATTGACTGTTTCTTTTATTCTTCTTGTCTTTGATTTTATGTTATGTCATCTAAGACTATCATTACTTTAATTACTAAGAGTTGCGGTTTTTGAGTTTAGGAGCAGTTTGCTGGCAACCTGATTTGCGGTTACGTTTGTATAATATGTTGGCTCATTACGTTTTTCACAGTTGAGTTTTATATTAAGGCTCCATAGTTTATTGCTATTTATCTTCATATCCAACTTTATCTTCCAGTGTATTAGTCCACTCCTTTCTTCTCTCCTCAGTAATTTCTTATAATAGTGTATCTCTTACCTCCATCGTTTGTGCAGAAACGTAAATTCCGTGACGGAAAAATTGTTTTTTACAAATGTAGCGATTTCATACTTGTTATGTGGTCGTTCTAAGATCAGTTTCATACCATTGATTTTAGGTCTGTTTTGATCTTTTCCTCTAAGAGTTTCTTGTAAGAGAAGCATTTCGCAATCTTACTCTCTTACCATTTCTGCTATGGATAATTTATTTTTGAAACGGAAGTTCCTCTATGTTGAAGGACATTTGGTGGTCCTGATAAGGGCCATTTGGGCTGACTGTGGTTGATAGGATTAGGTAGCGAAAGATGCATATTATGAGTCTTTGGGGAAGGCGTTTAAAAACCTGCAGCTAAGCTCTCTATTACCAGGGGCACCACTTGGTGGTTAATACCATGCCCCCCCTACCACAGTATAAATAATATTATATTTTAACTTTAAGTTAGTCTTAAAATTTTCATAGAAAAAAAGAAATATTTAAAAATATGGACTTTAATCTTTATATTGTATATTGAAAAATTTAAAAAATCTGATTTTGAATAACTGCATTATAGAAAAAAGAGGATGATCCTTATTTTAGCGAATCGTATACATAAAAAAAAATCCATTGATGAACCTTGCAGTTTATTACTGTTATAATAGATAGGAGGTATTATCGAACATCCTTATTGATAATATGTGGTTCCTTTTCGATATAAAATAATACTATTATCTATAGCATGGTATATATTTATACAGCTGATATCATAGTTATCACTCCCGACGACGAGTAGAGTATGTTTCTCGCATTCGACCTATACAGCTATTTGGCACTATTTGGCAAACATTGAAAATTCCCCACAGGTCGTACAATAACGACTGTTTGCCGGCGGTGGTAATGGATTTAGGTAGTGGATGTACACCGTGGCTGCAACCGCGTTGGCCATATTATTATTATCGTTCGTTCGTATAATATTATACCTACCTACCTACTTTATAATAATAATAATAATATTATTATCATATTATTTATTTTTACGGCGGACAATATATAATTCGGTTTCACTTGCACCCGCGCTGATTACGGCGGCGGCGTGAGCTGTGGCAGCAATAATAACGGCGGTGGGTATACGCCCATCATTAAATTATTATCATTATTGTTATTATTACTGTTATTATTGTCCTCAATTTCTCTGTAGGATTCGTTGCTGCGCGATAACCGAAAATCATTTCTGACGGTTTATCTACGCGGGATTTTCCGCAGTCATCACGCACCGCGGGCAACCCTTGACCCCGCACTGCCACAATGCGATTGCCTTGTACAGTAGTTGTACACATTATTCCATTATACTATTATTACGACTACTACCTATAGAGTTTGGGTTTTGTTAGCTTTTTTTTCAATTACCTATAAAGTGAAGCTTTACAGGCAGGTACCTACTCATATTATTACGAAATATTCAGCACATGCATCGACGTGAGATAAATACAGCACGAAATCTAATTTTGACTATTGATATTCACAAAATTGATTACAAAATAATATCTTCTATGTATGTAGCACTTAAGTATATGTATATTTGAAATATCAGTGAGGTGTGGTACTGTACGACTCACTGCAAAACATTTTTTTTTCCTTTCCCGTTATAGTGCGTATATACTTGTTACTCGCCTTCAAGTTCACGACAACTTTTTCCAAGTAGGTTTTTGGCGACCTTTTCCTCTACATAATGGTCATGTTATATTATTGTGGTTCGTTCTCCTCCCCGAATAAAAGGAATCTCGAACACACCACTGCTGCACCCTGTTGTGATACCTCTCACAGTCAAAAGTGCAAGGTCATAGCAATATAATAATATTGTTATGGTATTATAATAATATCACGAATCGTATCCGTCGGAGAAGGGACGGGCTTTATTTTTTCGCATCAGACAGCCGTAAGATGTATAGCTTACTGTATAGCAGTGGTGCTATGATTTGGCATGTTACACGGACTAAGACGTAATGGACTTCAAACGAAATGGTCGGAGGGGATCGGGGGACGGCCACAAAAAGACGTCACTTAGCTGATAAGAATACTGTTCTTGACGTTTTCAGAGCTACCGGTGGTTTTATTTGGCTACACAATTTGTATCTTAGCTGGTGTTTTATACAGAGGGCGCTGTGAACTCCAGGAACACATAGCGACCCTCCGCACTTTGCCTCTTGTACATACATTCGTGTCCGTGATAAGCTGCTGGTTTCCAGTCCATTATATCTTAGTCCGTGGCATATTATTGTCACAGCGTTTATCTATCATCACTGTCCTTATTGGGCCGCAAGCCTCGATATTTTTATCATTATTATGTAG